GAAAAAAAAACTGTTCAGGAAAAAAAAACTGTTCAGGAAAAAAAACTGAACAGATGAAAAAAACTGTTCAGGAAAAAAAAAAAAAAGATCATCAAAAGAATCGCAAAATCTCACAAAAGATTAACCCATTTCCAACCCGAATCAGTTGAGATTATTCATTCCAAAAAATATTTAAATCTACATAAGGAAAGAATCTACACTGGGCTGAGCTCGGTAGAAGCAACTCGAATTTATTCATTCCAAATTACTCTCTGTCTTACTCTCAGGCAGGGAAACACCCGAAAAGCTCAATAACTTTTTGCCTCTCACTCTCCCTTTGCCTCAATCACAGTATTACTCTCTCTCTCTCTCTGCGTTTTATGTGTGTGTGTTTCCTTTCCCTCTCGCGCGCATCAGCGCCTAGCCCCAATTTTGTGTCGCCGTCCATGCGGGTTTCTAAATTTGGTTTTGCTTACTAATAAGATAGGACTCATTTTGAATATTTTTCTACTTTAAAATTTAATTTATTTGGAAAAGCATAAGAACGGCTCAGATTAAATCCACTTTTAATTCAAAGGCCCACATTTTCATCTCATTTCTTCCATTTCAATCCAATGGCTTGCAATGCATCTCAACCCAAAAAAAAAATCCCGCCCATTTTGAGCCCAAACACACGCCACCCCCAATTAAACCCTCTGCTCCTCTCTCTCTCTCTCCAATCTGCCATGGAACTAATAGCACAGCCCAGGTATACCCCCTTCTCTCCCTCTCTCTCTTTCACGACCCACAGCACAGAACATAATGATGTGTTCAAGCATCATTATGTTCTGTGCCATTTTTTTTACTTTGCCTATAATGGTTGAACACAGCACATAACATAAAATTAAATTAAGCTCATGATAGAAAGGTACACATCCCATTTGCTCAATGTCCTTACACATCCATCAAATGTCCTTACGCATATAAATATAGAAATTGTATGTTTCAAGGTAAAAGTTAAGCCAACAGGTTAGTTTATCTAGTACATCTTGCAAAAAGTACCTAATCATTTTTTTCTTTTGTTTTGGTACATCCAAATAAGTTATTATGAAGAAAGTATTAAAAAGAAATTAATATTCAATTTTGAGATGGATTTAAAAATGTCAAGAAGTATAAAACCTGAATCATTTCTCTAAGAAAACCCACCAAGAAGGAAAAAACACTGCACTGTTGCTATAATTTCACATGTCCAGATGTAACAAAACACACCCATAGATGCGTTTCGAGTGAAAATCAAGAAATCAGGTGTTTATGTAATCTTGAAGACATCAAAGTAACCATGGTGTCAAAGTGCATAGATGGAATAATTAAGAAAGATCCAGCTTGTGTTACTATGAAAGTCAAAGCAAACCGGTGCACAAAATTACACATGCAATCAATTAAAACGGTCAAACTAAACTTATTAACTTCCATATTCTATGATATTTAATTACAGAACCCAAAAACAAAGAAAATTAGAAGAAGAAACAATCATAATTCCCCAGAAAATAGAAGAGAGAGAAAAACAAAATACACAAAAGATTGTGAAATTTTTACTGACAAAGGACACAACAATTTACTCAATTTAAGTCTTTGACAGCTATTTAGTAAATTGATTGGAACTTCTCAATTCTCATATATTTTCCAGGTGAAAATGAAAATGTAAATTATAAAAATTCTCTCTCTTATTTTCTTTTGAAACCCCCAAAACTTGGGAAATTTTGGTATTTTGTTTATGCCAATGACACGACAAACAAAACAAAGAAAATTCCCCAAAGCTAACGATATAACCAACAGAAAAGAAACTTTCTGGCTCTGTATCAAGTAGAAAAATTCCTTACTCCTTACACAAAATTAACCTAAATTCAAAAACCCAAACACATATTACTCCTTACCCCCTATCTCTCTCTCTCTCTCTCTTACGCTCCAGCCACACCACCGCCACTTCGTCAGCAACACCACCGCCACTGCTAACCCCTCCCAAGTATGCATTGTCTCTCTCTCTTTCTCACACACACACACAAGCACACACTAACCCCCATCCTACCCCCATATCTTCTCTGCCCTCTTCTACTCAACATCACCCAACACTTCTCTCGCTCACACACAATCACATTGCACACGCACACCCACAGCGCACAATACACACATACATACTCACCACCCACACACAAATCGCACACACACAAACAAACCCAGCACACACACCCAACACAGACCCAGTATACACGCACCCACATCACACACACTCACACCCACTCACCCACTCACCCAGAAACAAACACCCACACCCACTCACCCCACTCACCCACACACACATCACAAACAGACCCACCCACACCAATTGTTTGTTGGAATGACCGAGAGAAATTTTGTGTACTCTGCCATTGAATTTTAATTGATTTACACTTTGTTTGATTTAGCTTATAATGTGTTGAATTAGCTTATATTCAATCTAAAGTGATTTTTGAAGTTTAGAAATTATTGGTTGGGACCCCTGAGTTTTGTTTCCTTCTGAGGTCAAGGTCTTTCCTATACTGGATGCCTCTTTTCTCCTTTCTAGAAAATGCAAAAACTCAATTCGGTTTCTGTAGCTTTCTGCAATGATCAAAACTCTTAGATTTTGTTTTAGCAGAAATGATCATTTTCGACTTCAGCTAGAGAGAGAGGTGGGTATGTTTAATTTGCTGTGGGTCGTGAAAGAGGGAGAGGGAGAGAGAGATAGAGAGAGAGGTGGGTATACCTGGGCAGGCCACTTCAGGTCGTGAAAGGGGGAGAGGGAGGTACCTGGGCTGAGCTGAGCTTGGTGAGCCGCTGTGTGCCGCTGGGTTGAACGTCGTTGGTGTCGCTGCTGTGTTGATCGCCACTGTGTGCCGCTGCTGAGCCGGTGTCGCTGCTGTGTGCCGCTGCTGAGCCGTTGTGAGAAGGGTGTGGGTAGAGGGGTAAGGGGTCTGGGTTGCTGTCTGGGGTGAGGCATGGCAGAGGAAATGGGTATGTAGGGAAATGGGTGAGGCATGGCGGGAGACAGAGAGTAGCTGTAGGGGAATGGGTTTGATTTGAGGCAGAGAGTAAGTAACTGTAGGCATGTGTTTGGGTTAAAAATGGGCGGGATTTTTTTTTTGGGTTGAGATGCATTGCAAGCCATTGGATTGAAATGGAAGAAATGAGATGAAAATGTGAGCCTTTGAATTAAAAGTGGATTTAATCTGAGCCGTTCTTATGCTTTTCTAAATAAATTAAATTTTAAAGTAAAAAAAGATTCAAAATGAGTCCTATCTTATTAGTAAAGATATCTATATTTAGATTAAATTAATTAAGAGACACAATAGTTGTTTAAATATAAATATATTATCATAATGGTCATATATCCTCGCGCATACCAAAAATGAATATAGACACCATTGAATATTGAATCCCTTATTTGAATGTCATTTTTGGTCAAACTTGAATTTGAACGAGTCAATTCAAACTCCTCTCAAAAAATATACCAAACAGACCTTAAGAGTTTAAGTCTTGAAGTCTCCATTAAGATTCGATAATTGACCGCTATATTATCCTAATTAGATCTGATCTCAAGAAGTGTTCCATGCGCGGTCAGAAGTCTTATGCTCCCACCGATAAAGACCTAATTGGGTTCTGCTTAGACACTCTTCTTCCTCTCGACTTTTTTTTTATATTAAAAATAATTACAAGCAAACGGCAAGTTTATTTAAAATCATAAAAGATCAATGGCAGTTGCAGAGTTCGTTTTCATGGGCCATCCATCACCCCCGCTCTCAAGTCTCACCTCCTCCAGCAGAACCCCAACTACTTTATTTCTTCTTCTAAACATTCCAATTCTCGCAACCCATTATCTTCCCTGTGACCTATAGATACATAACCATATATACAATGATCTTTGATTTGTGTTTTTCCTGTTTATATGCTTAATTTTCATTGATTTTCACAGTAAAGAGTTCAAATTACCTGCAGTGTAAATACTATTTCGCTGCAAGAAGAGAAAAGGACAAATGAACAGTTTTGGAATCTTGGAAATCACCGAGATTGGTTGATTCCATGTCATTTTATTTGTTTAATCAATGTGTCTTTTCATTACGTACTCGAATTAGTCAAACCAGAACGTATACGCGTATCTTGATGTATACTCTCAGTACATGGAATTTTCTATATCATATTGCCATTGGATTTCAAGTTTGATAGATTAAAACTCTTTACATTGCTGGGTCTAGTGGTGTTTGGCCCTTTTGTTTGTGTATTATCATCAGTTGAGCGCTATATATGCTCTGTTGTTGTAACAGAGAAAGCTCATAAATATTCTGAAGTGCTAATCATCAGTTTCAAGGGTCATTGAGTTTGTGGATATCATTCAATCACTTGAGTTCTTTTTGTTCTGAGATCAATTTACAGTTGGGGGTTTGGGGTTTTAAGCTCTTCATTTGGATTATCATTAGTTTCAAGGGTCATTGAGTTTGTGGCTGTCATTCAATCACTTGAGTTATTTTTGCTCTGAGATCAATTTACAGTTGGGGTTTTGGGGTTTTAAGCTCTTCATTTGAATATCTTACAAAGAGTAATGTTGATGTAGATTAGGAATAGAAAATGGACCGATTGCCATCAAATATATTTAGTTGATTGAATGGAGGAACACTCACGTTTTGTTCATCAAATACAAAAATTGCAGTTGTGCTCTGGTTGTAGATTGTAATGATCAATTAAGACTTCATTTGAGGGTTTTTTTTTTCCTCTGAGAAGCAATTGATTTGTAGTTGGGGGCTTTTGAGTTCAAAGCTCTTTATTTGGTTAGAATAGTTTGAGTGATTCGATTTTATATTTGGTGATTCCCTTTATTTTTTGTTCAATTAGTAGATCGGTTGGTGAACTTTGATTTGCTCAATCTGATGAGTGAATGATTCTTCCATAAGACCGTGCAGAAGAATAGAATTGGAGTTCATTACATTTTGAGACAGTTTAAGAGGAGGGAAGAAGAAAAGAATTTTATGGAGATGGAGGGAAGATCATACTCAGACTTCTATAGAAACACGAGTGAAGAGTTGTTTATTAAGACCATGATGGAGGGCTCGATTGGAATGCCAGCTCCAACTATGGAGATGTTGGGGTTTAAGAATTTGTCGAATAACTTCCGGACAGATAGTGAGGAACTCTTCAAAAGCTGGCTCACAAATGGAGAGGCAAGCAGTTCTAACATCTTCTTATGTCGACTTTGCATTGTGATCCTTGATTTAAAGCTTTAAGGTTTCCAAAAGTTTAAATTAAACGAGTCGGAATTTTTTTATCACAGATGGGATAGTGTCAATATTATGATTTTGCTATTAAGATCCACTAAATGCATGAGCTTCTGTTTTTGTTTTCCTCTCATGAAACTTCATCACAGTATGGACATAACAATGCTTCAATGTTGTTCCTTAGCCTGTGCATGTTGGGAAAAACTTTGTTGATATCAAATGCTGAATAAATCCCTGTACATTTCATTTAGGCTGTAACATAGGAGAGTTACTGCTCCACCAATATACTGAACTGTTAAGGCAGTCACGGACTCATGGCCTTAACTTGATAAAAACGTCATTCCCCTATTTTGGTTTCTTTTTATCTCTTCTTCTATTTCAGAGGTAAAGAGAGTAAGAAGAAAGAAAAGATAGATAAATTTCCGTTTCACCTTCTTATTGTTTGAATTGATCTTATAAGTTTTGTTTAGAAATACTTGAATTTCCCTGGAAGTTCGTTGAGAGTAATCACAAAATTGATGATTTTACTATGTTTGGAACAATCTTTGAATGTCGGAGTGAAAAACTGTTTTGTGTGGATGACCATATTATTGGAGGTAAATATTCCTGCACCCTAAGTTAGTATTTAGAAACAAAATATTCCTGCAGATCGAAGTGCTTATCTTGGCATTAATTGAGTTTTTCATGTCTCCAAGTATTTTTTACGTGTATAAATCATAGTTTTCTCCTGTAAATTTATTTTATGTTATTCTTACCTTTTCCCCCTTGATTGTTGTTTTTCGCATTTGACATGTTTTTGCTTTCCAGAATAATGTCTACAATCCAGCTACCATAGCCCATCATACTCGATCGCGAAGGTTAGTCAGTAGCCTGCTTAAGGGTTGGCATACTTGTATCTGGGAGACTTTTTTCTTTGGCATCACAATGTGATGCAGAATGACGTCTCTTTATCATATCCTAGTAAAGGAGATATGGAAGAAGTGGAATGACAAGTTCACTAAGTTACATAGTGAGGAGTATTTACCATACATCAAGTTACAGAAAGTATATGTTGCACTCCTTGGTCAATAAGTGTGGCTTGTAATTCTTAATTTTGTTATTAGGCATGCTTATTTTTTCACTTCTGCCGCCTCATCAATTTGCTAAAAGATCTAGTACTGAAAAATATATTGCTTTTACTCTCTATTTTTATGTGTATTCAATTTTTATGCTAAATGCAGGATGTTCAGTGAAGTAGCTAGTTTGTCTAATCAACAACAGGGGGGTTCACTTCAGAGAAAGAGAAGCAATGAAGCTATATTCTCACAAAAACAGTTCTGGGGCTGATGAACCATCAACCGACCTCAGTCAACATTCATTCAGGTAATTTCAAAGTACCTAAATGATGAAACTTCAACATACAAAGGTTCCACATTCCTGGTTTTCTTGGACCACACATGTCAGCAAAGTTGAGGGCATTTAGTCTTTTATTACCACCTCCTATTTTGTTGATAATTTGTCCTTGAAGCAATTTCAACCTGAACCAGTCACTTTTACTAATCTTTGCTGCACTTGGTCAAACCATTTTAACTGGTTTTCTATGATTATTGGCTCTAGTTATTGCCACCTCCGATGTCTCATGAAATGTAGTTATCTCAAATAAGGTCTTAGTTGTATTGCCAATACTGTAATTGTACAGTGAATAATTAATTGCCTTTGAATTTTATTTCTACCAGGAATCCGGTGGAACGGGGTCTGCAGGGTATTAATTTATACCTGGCTAAGGTTTGTCTCTATTGAGAGTCAGTTAAGGCCATTTCAAAACATCTTTTTGCTAAGAGTTATTAAGATGACATCATTTCTCACCTTGCCGCAGGCATGGTTCCATAGTTCTCAACCCATGACTAGAAACCGTTCCTCTGAATTAAGGTATCATAATATCTTATGAGACTTATATTTATGGGAGTTTTCAGTTGCTTTTCATCACTTTACTGCACATTATCATATGTTGAACCTCATGATACAACCACGAGAGTCTGAAGGGTGTGTGTTTTCTCTTTCCTTTTCTTTTCCCCACCTTTTTTCCTTCTCTTTTTTTTGGGAATAATGGATGAATAGAGTCACTTCTAAATGAGAAAGTCAGGATGTAAGCATGAATGTGATATTATTTTCCTTATAAATTACTTTGGAGTGAATTCACTTGAACAAAGAAATTACTGGAATTTATTTGGATTCATGGATATTCACTTTTTGCAGGAGGAAATATGTTGCAATGCAGAACTGCCACTCCTCACTGGGAATGGAAACGGAGCAAAACATATCTGGCATGGTGTCAACCATTTGAAACAAGAATTT